TGGTGGGTTTGGTGGAGGGGGAGGGAGTTATGGGGCCGGTGGAGGAGGAGGAGGGGGAGGGGGGTACTCAGGGGGTGGCAGGGGAGAGCATTGTGACCCAAATGGCGGAGGCGGCGGTTCGTTTAACTCCAGTACTGACACAAGCGGTCAGGATGGGGCAAACGACGGGCCCGGGTATGTGGTCATCACCAGACAGGTGTAGACATTGTAAGATAGCACTTGTCCCCATCTTGATAGGGAAGAATATCTATATGATAACATATTACAAAGCCTAAACTACCCATAGAGAAAGTATTGATAAGCCACTTAAGCAACTTAGGCAGTAGTAAGGACTTAACATTGCAGAATGTGCAAGTCAGAATGCCCTGAGTATTATGTACTTTTAAGTAAAATGGTAAGTGAATGGATATGCCTAGTATAATAGTGTTCAAAAACTCATTCTTTCCTGTAACTATCACAGATTGGAATTCGCTGTCACCAAGTACAGTAGGGGCATTACATTACTATTAGATAGCTTTAAACAATGTTTAGAGTTAAATGTTCAAAGGTTAGGTGTAGCAAGTCATTCAATGTAATGTAGCCAACTGCCGCCGCGCCACGTGCCTGCAAAGCCGGTGTGTAACCAATTATACAATAAAAGCCTAATTTCAATATAGACAATCGTCTTGCCTCTTCATTGATTACTTTTCATACACGTTAAAATATATGAACGACCAACATTATTTCTGTTGGTGCTTTATAATTAAAGTTAAAATATAGCGGATTCATTTTCTTTATGTGTGAAGACCTGAGAAGCATGTAAGAATATGAAACTGGAATGAAAGATAAAATGAAAAAATGCCATTGATGGATAACCTGTTAAATGTTTCACTGTCGAAAAAGTCCTAACTGAAAAGGGTGGGCTCGGTAGCAACAGGCTGTATATCAGACTAGTAAAGAATAGCAGCTGATAGCGGCCAATTTGAAAGTTTTAGATCATCCTCTGTCCTAAATTTTCATAGTGGAATGGTTTATTATAAAGGTACATCGACTTCTAATGTGTAATGAGCAGGTTACATTGACAATAGAGCCAACGTGCAGGCAAGGTTCACCCCATGTTTTTAAATTAAAACTTTTGGTCCAACACAAAAAAAGTTCTCTCACCTAGAGTTTTCGACCAGTCATTCTAGTCTTCCTCAGTAGACTGACCCAGTGAAGCTTGTCACGTGGCTTCTTTGAAGTGTGACGTCAACACTGGGTGAGATAACTTCTTTGTGTTGGACCAAAAGTTTTAACTTTAAACATCTAATTACCAACACAGATGAACTTTCATGATAAGGTTCACTCCAGTTGTGTGGTATAATACAGCAGACATTAATTAACAGGAGAAGAAAATGCTGTCACGACGTGTTGAAAAGAATAACAGGTTTTTAACGTATCACAACATATTTGGTACAAAGCATACATCGTTACACAGTTAATTTCAAACAACACAGTTGAAGGTCCGTTGTGGTACATCCGGGACACAACATAAAAACCAACCATTAACTCACAGACAAGCTCTAGGTAGGTTGCACACTGTGATATTGTCTTTCCACTAGGTTGGATACAATGTCGTCTACCTGACTATTGAGAAAACATGTCAAATGCCATGGCAACACCAACTTGGCACATTCTTTGTTCTCCCACAGCAGAATCAAGTATTTTCTTCTCAGTTCATCTTTCTTTTAAATCG